TTTCTGACCTGCTGAGAGAATTTTTTAGAAAACTTTAAAACTAAAGAGCTTAATATTTTTTTCCAACTTGGGGAAAAAAAACCCACCCTGTTTTTCATATTCAATCTCCTTTATTCTGTGTCCAAAAAGGGATGTGACAGTAAGGAAAATTAGTAGCTTGCATGTCATGAACTTATTAAAGAAAAATGTGGATTTTATTTTTTTTACAGGGAAGATAAAGTCATTGAAACCATATTTTGCTAAAAATACTATAAGAATAAATCAGAGCAGGTATACTTTTGCAATTTGTCATATAGCATGTAAATACAGTGGGTGGCCTTTAAAATTTAAACCGCATACTTGAGCACTAGCAAAGTTCCTCATTATAAAACAGAAAACATGATAGGAACTGGCAGAGCTTCTGTGCTGGTGGGATATTTAATGTGCACCCTCTGTAAGCCCTGCACAGCACATTTGATCCAGGATATTAGCACAAAAAAAGGCTCTTTCCTCTCTGAATGTATTGTCCAGATTAACCCTGTCGTTCCCTTGCCACCCCCTGCGTGTGACACCAAGTAGACTCCTGGACTTGTCACCCCAACTGATGGCATCTTGCACTGAATTACCACCTATGCCTGCCCTCGGCAGCTCCATGCAGTGGGATTTCCAGGTGACTGAGCTCAGTGCTGGGGTGGGTGGGTGGAAAGCTTCGTTGCTCCAGCTGGCACGAGCTGTCTCAGTGCCTCCTTGTCCCAGCGTGTCCCTGCCCTGGAGTGGTTTGCTGTGGAGCCAGCTCCATCCTTTGTGCCAGGTGAGAGGCTTTTCCACCAGAGCTTTTAGGAATAATTTACATTTCCTTTCATCCAGGAACTCTGCAGGTAAAGAAAAAAAGGGCATCCCAGAGAAGTTGTGGATGCCCCATCATCCCTGGAGGTGTTCAAGGCCAGGTTGGATGAGGCTTTGAGCAACCTGATCCAGTGGAAGGTGTCCCTGCCCATGGCAGGGGAGTTGGAACTAGATGATCTTTGAGGTCCCTTCCAACACAAACAGTTCTATGAATGCTATTAGAGCAAGTAATAAGTGGCTGCTGAGTGCGAACCTCCTGGAGAGGGGAATGGGCTCTTCTCTACCAGTCTGGAATAATTGCTCTGCATTTCTCTGTGGTCCAGTGCACAGAGAGCAGCTTTCAAAGAGGTTGGATTGGGCACAGCAGAGGCAGGAGCAGGACCCTGTGCATTCAAGGCCAGTCACAAGCGTTCTGGAGGAAGAGCTAAAATCCACTTTTGTGGGCTCAGGCAATAGCATCGCATCCTTTTCCCGCCCGGCATGCCTGCGGGCAGATGATGTTTGTAGTTTGTTGCTAAAAGGCCAACGCAAGCCATTTTGTGAATCTCCTGTGTTTGCTGTTTTGCTCCTGAGCGACCTCAAGGCACTTGGGAGGACACAGCCATCCCTAAGAGGGAAGACCACCCAAGCCACCACTGGCACTGACCATCGCACGGTGACTTCAATCAGGACTCTCACGCTGACAAATGGGGAGCAGGGAAGAAACCCAGGACACCACAAATGAGAACACCCGAAGGAAAGCCCAGGCAGCCCAGCACGGAGAGGGAGCTTAAGGTTATTTTAACATCTGCTTCATGCTGCTTTCATCACTCTGGACAAGGAATGAGTTTGGGTTTGGTTGTTCATCCAAAGTGCTGTCAAAGACACAGCAGAGACTTCTGTTATTCTGCAGGTCCCCATCAGGGCAGGGTACGTTTTGTCACTGCCCTTATTTCGGAACCAGTTTTGACCGGGGAGAGAATCTGTGTCAACGATGGGGAGCTGACATACGCAGACGTGTTTTCATTCATTTAAACACACCAGCAGCAACTCTGGCTTGCAGTGAGTGATCTTTTTTCCAGTGTAAGCATCTTGGACCCATATGTATCTTTGCTCCTAACTTCAGGCTGATGAATGGAAAGAAGAGCTGAAGATGTGCTGAAGGCAAAAGTCGGTGTCCGAGAACATGGAAAATAGCACGATCTGGGCTGAAATTTCTGGTGTGACATAGGAGACTGCATCAACACAGATCCAGAACCTTGAACAGTATTGTCCTGTGGTTTGATTTCCATCCTGGCACGCTAAATGCAGTAAGGCCCAGGTTTTTCATGGCACTTTCCATTTTTGATTTAGGGAATTCGAAAAATACTTGTCTTGAGGCTGAGCCTGAAGTTATAATCTTGGCATATCCATACCATAAAATTCCCGTGGATAAAAGCAGAAACATCTGGATTCATGAGTGGATGTTGGCTAAATCCTCCAGAAAAAAAAAAAAAGCAAGCCTTTAAGGGATCCTAGAGGGTTCTAGCCAGAATAAATAATACAACAAAATAAGAGGGCTATTAAGAGTAATTGTAATACTGAAGCTGAACTATAAGATGAGGGCCAAGCCCTTTTCACAATCTGCTTTTCCAGCTAAAAGCCCTTCAATTTACACTTAACGCACATGTGGCTGGTGGAACAAAGAAAAAATTGAAGAAGGATGAAAGCAGTGCAGAGATTATTCAGCCTTGCTGGTTTAGCTCCAGGCACATCATTTAAATGAGTAGATGATCAGTTTCCAGTTTGTTTTAAATTCTCTGGCAAGAAATTTTACGCTCTATCCCAACGTTGAATGTGCTTAATTTATTTTTTTTTTTGAAGGCTCTGCCATTTTGTTTTATTTCTTAAGGCAAGCCTCAGGTATTTGCCCACTCTGTAACCTTCGGCCAACACAGCTTGGGGTGAGTTGCTTCCTTGTGGAATAAAAATCCTATCAGTCAGTCCTTGTCCTGTCCTCCCTACTTGTTGTCCTCGTCTTCCGTGTTGTCCATACCGCAGCCAACCAGTTGGATAGCTCCTGGGGAAGCTGGTCTGTTGGTACCGTTCTTGTAGAGCCTCCTTCGTGGAGAGACTTTAGGTTTTCCTCCACAAAGACTCTTCCTGTGATGCACTGCCAATGCTTAAAGCTCTCTGAAGACTCACTCTAGACTCTGAATGGTGGAATATATGTTTGGAGTGAGGCAATACTTGAAGTACGACTGGAAATGCCACTGATACACAAATGGTCACATTCATGCTGCCTTGTGTTCCATAGAAGGAATAATCCTGTTTACCCTGTAAGGAGTAGGAGTTCGATTGGCCTTAAAATGGCCTTGACGCATCTAGGAAATCCATAAAAAGGATGCTCCAGTATTTCTTAGGATGTTATTTTCAGCAGATCTTGCCAACATCTGTCATTTCCTCCCAGCACCCAGGTCTGAACTGAAAGCTCACAGGACTTAACGTAAAAAATTCAGAGCGCTGCTTTCTGTGAGCAGAGCAGAGCATCTTGACTGTCAGAGCGAAACGAAATGCATTTGCTCCCAGATGTCACAAAATATTTGTTTTAGATCAGCTGCTGTCGCTGCCACTGTCCACCTTTGCAGTTGTATTCTTCCACCCAACTTGAAGGCAATAGGAAGGTCTGCTGAAACTGCAGGGTCCTCGGTTAGGAGCACGTAGTTTGAGAAGCTGAAGGAATGAGAGATGAAGCAGAGCTAAATTTAGGATCTCAGATAAGGAAATATCTGTATCTTCAGTGCTCTGTGGTTTTATTTTGCTCTGCACAGAGCACACCTTGGCTGTTTACAGATTGTACTGACTTACAGGCGGCTTGGGGGGGGGGGGGGGGGGGGGGATAGGAGAAGAAGCAGTAATAGCAGCGTTAAAAGATCTTGAGTTCTTGTTAGCATGCTGCAAACAGCTATGTTTAAAGAAAAATAAACATCCCAAGGTTGATGGAAGGGTAGGAAAGCCATAAAGTACTGTAGTCACCTCCTTGGTGTGATGACATCAGAAATGACAGTGCCATGAAAAAAAGCTTTTTCTCTCTCTTTCTGGATCAAAAAGAAAAAACTGGTTCACGGTTCACCAGTCCTGCAGTGGGAACACAGGGGTACAAAACCCCATGGCTAAATCATTACCATCCAAACCGCATGAATACTATCAAGTCCACTGGAAAACCAAGGGCAGGAGTCCCCTGGAGATCTTCCCCTCCAACTGTCGGGGTGAGGAGGAGAAGACTCACTCTTTCTCCAATCCCTCTTCTGACTCAGCTTCCTCAGTGCTTCACCCCTACCACAGGACCACCAGCACCTCTTGACCCTGGCAGCTACGGGACCTCATCCCAGAAAGCCTCATGGGCTTTCACATTGTGCAACCAGCTGGATTCTGTGAGGAGGCATCAGGCATGCATTGCGCTCCCAGCGAGGAGGATGAGGGTTTCACCGCCACGTCCTACCTGAGCTTTTACTCTGTAGATCTTCTTGTACGTGTCTCGTTGCATCACTTACAGCATCCCTTTGGAAATGCAAAAGCTTGGGAAATGAACCAAGGAAAAAAGCTAAACAATGATCTCAATTACAGCAGCATAACTCTGGGGACGTTACTTTATGTTTATACCCTTTTAACAATCCAGATTTGGTTCAGAATGAGAAAGCTTGGGTTTTCTCTGTAAAGGGAAATTAAAAATCAGCAGGTCAAGATAATAATCAATACACCAATATTTACTGCAAATTTAAAACTTATTGAGAGCCTCCAGAGAGCCTCTCACTTCAGTTTCATGTAATTCCAAGCATTTCTCTGTTTAAAGAGAGTTCACAGGAGCTAGGAAATAAATAATTTAGACATAGTTGACTTTTTAAAGTCTCTGTAGCATCACTAACATCTTTCCTTTGATAAGGCTTTTGTTCTGCCTACCAAAGCTCAATTCCAAATGGGACAGACGAGGCAAATGCTCCATTCAATGGACCGGGGCTTATGAGAAAAACAGGGAAAAAAGCAAAAATTTAAAAAAAAATAAATTCCTATTCCCAAAGGTCATAAGTATCTGTCTGGTAAGTTCATACAAGTTCTTCACTTTCATTGTGAGCCTCTCCCTGCCGGATTCACAGCGAGGGTTTGTAGCTAAAGCTGAGGCAGAGACAGTTCATAATAAACAGAAGCTCCTTAGAGACCGTAGCCATGGCATGAGAAGCTGTTTACCTGGCACGATGAAGCACTATTCTGTTTATCTTCAGATGTTCCTACAGAAACAGAAGGTATTACAGTCTCGTAAATAAGGCCTCTTCACCCCCAGGAATATGTTGGGTTTTTTTTTCCAGACTGGTTGCCCTTCACTTTCAGCTGCAGAAAGCCCATCCTGTGATGTCTGAATTACTCCTTCATCCGCCTTCCCAAGAGGACAGACGGCTTCCTGGTGCAGAGAGCCAGGAACTTGCTGACAGCAGCTGGGGTTGTTGTTTCCAACACCGACCTGCCCATCGCAGTCAGAATGAGACCGGCCTCCTCGGTGCCAGCAGCGTCTGCAGGACATGGGTGCGTCCTCCAGAGCAGGATCACCTTCTCCCCGGGGAGAGTTATTGTTGATGGAATGTGTTTGTAGCAGGGAAATTTAGAGGGAATAGGCTCTACCCTGTGACTTGGAACCTAGTGTAGCACACAGCTAATGCTATTAGCGTCTTTGATTGCCCCAAAATGTGGAAGATAAGGGCACTGAGAGATTTGAGAGACGTTTTGGAAGCTGGAGGTCACAAGCTTGGGGAAAGGCCTTTGATTTCAAAGGAATTAGGGCTGGGTGCCTCCCACTGCTCATCAGACTGGATCCCTGTTTCTCCCTACCTGCCACAGCAAATATTTTGACTGCCAGAGCCAAAGCAATTGAGTTGTGTACTTTATCATATGCAATTCCCAAGGCACGCTGCCGACAACCAACAAACTCGTTTTAGACCCGTGGACGCGCCGCTGGAGTGCTGCCACCAGCCAGGGTGGCACTGGGTACCACCACATGCCCCAGGGCACATCCCCATCCTCCTAAAGGAGACTCAAACAGGACGGTCACGCTTCGGGGTAAGCCGTCTTGCGCGGTGGTGGCCTCTTGGGCTGCTGCGATGGCAACGTCCCCTCCACACGGTGGGGGAAATCAGAGCAGAGATTTTAATGAGTGGTGACTTTCCCATTCAACTTACGCCTTTGAACATCCTACAATACCCAATTCACCCCGTTGGGTGGGATTCGGCACGGAACTGATTTACGGCGTGGCGCAGCAGGCTGTGCGGAGCCCGTTCATTCGAATAGCATCAGCCCTCTCTATCAAACACTCTTCCACTTCTAGTTTTAATTAAGCACAATTAGCGGGGCTTGCAATTTTCTTAAATGCACCCAATCTTCTATGAAATTAATATTAATCTCTGTTGAGCGTGCAAGTCAGTAAAGTGACACGTGGAAAATGACACGTTCTTGACTCAGGAATGCAAACTGGAGGATGACTCCGTGTTCCTGAATGAGGAGATTGGCATGCCAGATGCATCCAGTGCCTGACCCCTTTAAAGGCTCTGAAAGATCACACGTAGCTTTAAAATGTCATTTCATGCACGCAGAAGGGAGAAAGAGAGCCTGACAGCTTTATGTTACTCGGCTTCCCGTTTAATTTGGTTATGGTGGTGTGAATGTCTTAATAACACAAAGCAGAGCTCTGATCTCCATTCTGGCTGCATGTTTCCAATAGACACCCTAATGCCTTTCTCATGGCCAGAGTGGGTAACAATCCCTATTTTCTCGCTATTAATTAGAAGTCGTATTTCATTCCCTGATGAAGAACAAGCCTCGCAGTGTAGCTGACAAGTTTGCAGTCCTCGCTTTGAGCCACACGTTGAATTTTACTGAATTGTTTTATCTGGAGATAAAAGGAACAAACGTGAGTATAGAACAAATACTTTTTTTTAAATTGTATCTTTAAGTCAGAAAAATCGGGTGGCGTTCAGCCTTTCCTGCTCTTACCGTTTCCTCTGCTATAGACGTGAATGTCCTCTCTTTTCCCTTGCCCAACTGCTCGCTCCCAAAATCCTGATGAAAAGTATCTGGAGAGTGATCGAGTTCTCTGTCTTTAATAAGTGTGTCCCCGTAGCAAATTATATAACAGCATTTTGTACACTTGTATTTTTCCTCTCCCCCGGTGCATTCCACGCACCTACACAGTCATGCTAATTAGATCATGTAATAAACTTAAACATGGCAAAAAAAAATCTGTTCACAGGGTGTTCCAAGACAGAGCTGGATTTGGAATACAGCCATTCATGAATTTTGTTTTGGTTGAGAAAACCCAAAGGATGTTATTTTACCGAAGATGAAGCAAAACCCGTGCAAGAGGAGCTGTAATCTAAGAAGACAAGTTATTTTATTTAAGTAGTCCTCAGTGAGCCCTGATATAGGGGCTTGCGTATATGAAAAAAAAAAAAGCTTTGAGAGTTTAACAAAGCCATTAAAAAAAATTAAGCCTAAACTAAAAAACCAAATTAATGTTAAGTTAAACTTGATAGGTTTAGTTAAACTTAACTAATCAAAACGAAAGTAATGTTAATCCATAGTATATGCCTACAAAGGAGCTAAGTAGCAAGGAACTTTGAGCATCAGGTGTCTTTTAAATGAGAAGAGGCATCTACACACGATACGGTGCTAGATTCGAAACACACCTCCATCTGTTTTTCCATAGATGGTCTCAAACTGTGCACAATACAATAATCCCTGCATCCGTGGGGTAGTACGAGAGGTAAAACAGCCTTCTTGGACATACCACTCGGCACTGCAACCTTGCACTCGCATGCTCGTGTCTGCAGAAAGGAGTCATTCTGAGCACTTCACGCGTTCGACGGCGACGTTCAATGCATCCTGGGTTTTACGATACAGTTGGTAGCGCCATCAGCTGCCAGGTAGGAATTGCTTCTTAATTTCAGTTCAGATGCTAAAAGTTTTGGCTGCCATTGCACTGAGCCGCGTTTAAACCTGTAGGTCTATTGAGTCAGCTCTTAAACACAACCACAATGATTTTCATAACGATCTAGACAGACCGAGAGTGTTACTAGATGACTGCAGTTCTGCGAAGCTGACGAAGGCAGTGACACGGAGCATGAAAAAATGCCGTGTTATGAAACGCACGGGAGAAGGAGCTGAGGTCGTGGCTGGGCAGTGATGTGGTGGTCTGGGAAAATCCAGTTCCCCGCCTGCAGATTTTCATCCAACTGCCATTAACGAAGTGTGACGATAACTTTCAGCTATATCCTCAATCAACACTAGATGTTGCTATGCTGCTGCTCTTACAAGCTATACATTAGCGAGGCTTTTAAATGGTATTTACTGCAATTTCCTCTTTCCTGTTTCTGTTATTCGCTATACTGTGAATGCTGGGTGAGCTGCTACCTTAATTTACTTTTTTTTTTTAAGTTTCACTTTTATTTGTAGAGTATCAAGTTTATAATCCCCTTGAACGTACACATAAAACTTTACAAGCAAGGGAGACTCTTACATGTGACAGCATGAAGCAACTCCTATATGAATGTCAAATATTTACTTAAACTCTGCTTCTGGATTTTTTGCAATCCAAGGGGAATGACACTGGTAACCAGACAATTCTGGGAACAGACTGACAGCTGCAAGGCCATGGAGGGAAGTTTGTTTATAAGGGAGGGGAAAAAAAATATATATTTAAAAAAATAATTAAAAAAAAAATGTTTAGCCCTGCTGGGTTTCAGGCTTTCTACTCCCACATGTTTGAGTGGGAGAAAGGACAAATCTTAGGACGTTGATTTCCCCATGGCAACAGAAAGGAAATTACTTTAACCCCATCTAGTGACAGATGACTCATTGCTCAGCCCGCTGCTATTTTCCGAGCACTAAAACAATACAGCTGCAAAGAAAAGGCCAGCCTGTACCATCCCATAGGCTGAGCGGGGGCTCATGGGAGAGGGCAATTCTCTGCCTGCCTTTTTATCAGAGACAGACAGAGCTGGAGCAGTTTGGTGATTCTTTTATTGCCTAAGGCACATGTGCCCATGGACTCTCCGTCCCCGCGCTGCTGGAGGGGAAAGATGGGGTGTCCCAGGGATGGAGATGATGCGATGCCCGTAAGGTGAGCTGCTGGTGGGTGTTCCCACCTGGACCTCCTCACTCTGCATCCAGTGGTCCAAGGGGGCTCTTCCACGCTTTTGGTTGTTGAATTATGTGCCATGAACTGCACATGTGATAGAGGAATGGTTCATGCACAGATGCAGCCCGGTGAGGGGACAGCGGGTACGAGCGGGGTTTCCAGGCCCCTGCGTATGAAGATATCTGGTGACAGAAGTGCATTTCTGTCATAACAAGATCCCACAGGTAAAGGCTGAAATAGAAATATTCAGCTTTGAAAGCTGAATTATCGTAGGGGAAAGGGTAGTTAGGAAGAGAGGTTTCTAAGCAAGGATAGTGGAACCATTATCAGTTGGAGTCCTTAAACCCAGGTGAGATGTTGCTGCGAAAGACAAGCTTCAGTCTAACTTGTAGGACAAAGAGGTCAGCTGTGTGCTCAGGCGGTCAGCCTTAACAGCCATATCTGTCTTCTTCCACCTTGCAGCAGAGCTACCAGCTCATCTGAGGAACATCTCTGTTGAGCTTTTCCAGCATCTGGATGACAACTCTTGGTCAGCATCTTCAGGACATGGCAGAGAAGGGCTGTTTTGGAGAGGAGCTGATTCGAGCTTATGGATTCAGGAGCAGTCCTCCATCTGCATCTTTCCACCAGCAGCTCAGTGCAGGAGGCACCCACTCTACAAACACTGGTTTTCCCAAATCCTAGTAGAGGTTTAGTAAGGCTCAGACGTAAGGCTTAGCGAGCCTCAGCTGCATTTTGCACATAGAACATTACACTATTGAATGGAGACGATTAATGCTACCACTGAGATGACATGCTTTCTTCGTAAATAAAGCATATAAAAATTCATCAAAAATTCAACATCACTTTACTCACCTCAAACTGGGGACAGACATCACAGTGTTGGGAAATTCAGAACCCCAGGAAAACTACGTGGCAGGATGGTGTCATGGGATATGTGAAACTTTTCCTTTCTGGGAGAGACAGGCTGGACTGCTGGCACAATAGCTGAGTCTTTGCTCGTTTGTGTGCTGGTATGATTAATTTTCTGCTTCCTAACAGCAGAAAAGCAGGTCCATAGTCTTTATTTGGATCATCCAATTAACAAAAAGAATAACTCCGATACCAGGTTGTTCTGGAAACCGGACTGCAATAACGGCACAAAGATTACCTTCATGCAGAAACCAACGCACACCAACGCGAACGGACGGCTCCCTGAGCTCAAACCCAGACCTTGGATGCGATGCTCCAGGCTGCACAGCACGCTGCCATCTGTGCCTTGGCACAGGTTCGTTATCTGGGAACACCCCGGCATTGGCCACGGCCGTCCCAAAGCCATGATTTCAACAGCAGCTTAACCGGGATGCTCAGAGGTGCTGTCCCCGCTTCGCCTTGCCCCCTTCGGCTGCTGCTTC